ATCCCTTCATCCACCCACCTCCCACCCACCCATCCTTCTACCATCTCTCCATCCACCCATCCATCCACCTACCCACTCACCCACCCAGCCACTCACCCACCCACCCATCCATCCATCCATCCATCCATCCACCCATGCATCCAACAAGTATATATTGAGTGTGCATCATATGCTAGACATGGGGTTGTAAAACAATGATCAAGACTGAGAAGGGTATTTTAAAGGGACAGAGTAGATTTTTACTACGTATTGACTGAAAAGCACCCTGCAGGGGAGGAAATAGGAAACTGACTGGGTATTTAGCCCACTTCAGCACCTGATGTCCTTGGGGTCCTGAGCTAACTTGTTGCCATGGCAGCCGGGGTCGCAGGACCTTCAGGACCACAGGATGTATGTGGGCAGGAGAAGGGCCGCGTCTCTTGAGGGGCCTGGTTGAAGGGGCGTGGCCACGACCCCTGGGAGGGCTGAGGCCCACCGCTGCCCCCGTGGCTCCTGCCTGACGGCCTCTCTGGTCTCTGCTTCCAGGTTGGGGGCAGGCAGGAGGGTGCGGGGGGCCAGGTGGAGATCTTCTCCTTGAACCGGCCGTCACCGCGCACTGTCAAGTCCTTCCCGCTGGCGGCCCCTGTGCTCTGCATGGAGTACATCCCGGAGCCGGAGGAGGAGGAGGAGGAAGAGGGTGGAGATCAGAGCCGAACGGCTGCGGACCCCTCGGCCGCGGTACACCCGACCATCTGCCTTGGCCTGCAGGATGGCAGGTGAGTGCCTGGGAGGAGGGAGGAAGTAGGGGTGGGGTGGGGGTGGGGGTGGAGCTATCCCCGTTGTCAACTGGCACTCTCTCAGGTCACGTGGCCCGTGGGGAGACACTGACTGTGTGTCAGCTGGATCTGGGTTTGAATCTTGGCTTCCCACTTCCTCGCCTGGGTCCTTGGGCACAGGTGCACCATTTAACCTCTCTGAGCCTCAGTTTCTCGCCTGTGACATGGGGATCACAATCTCCCCATGCAGGGCCACTGTGAGGGTCCACCAAAATGGAGGTCACGGGCAGCCTTCAGTTCACTTAGCTGCACAAGTGTTCACCATCTGTGGCCGCAGTTCCCCTGGCAGGGCAGGATGGGGGTTCCGGGGCGTTCCCAGGTCATGAGGGCACCACCAGCAGAGGGCTGCCCACTGCAACGCATGCCCGGGGCTGGTGAGTCAGCAAAACTTTGGCCCGCAGTAAGGAGGCCCAGGCCAGCTGTGGCCAGCCAGGGCCATAGACCACCTCCAGGAGTGTGAAGGGAGAGGGATATTCACCCAGTGAGCTGGGAGGTGAAGCTGAGGTGGGCCTGGCATGGCTGTGTCCTGTCTTCCCTGTGTCTCTGCATGTTTCACCCCCTCCTAGAGAGGAGGAGATGAGAAGAGAGCATTTACCGAGCATCTACTATGTGTTTCCCGGACAAGGAGAGAGTGTGTTTCCTGAGTACCTACTGTGTGCTGCCTGGACAAGGAAAGAGTGTGTTTCCTGAGTACCTACTGTGTGCTGCTGGGTTGTGAGCCTCATGGCAGCCCCGCAGGGAAACTGAGGAAGGAGCAAAGGCTCACATTACATGGAGCCAACTCGGAGCCACTCGAAGCTCCGTGAAGTCCAGGCCACAGCTGAGTGCCCAGCCAGGCCCTGGACAGAGGAGAAACCTTCCAGAGAATTCTCATTACCCCAAAAAGAAGCCCCATACCCATTAAGTAATCACTCCCCATTCCCCTCCCACCCATCCCCAGAAGCTATAAATCTGCGTCCATCTGTGGCTTTGTCGCTTCAGGACATTCCATGTAAATGGACTCACATTGTGTAGGTTTCATGTAAATGGAATCACATGCCACGTGGCCTTGTGGACCACGCTGCCCTTCACGTAGCGCCATGCTTGTAGGTCCGTCCACACGGCATGTGTCAGGGCGCCATTCCTTGCGTGGCAGTGAGGTGGGCATCGCCACCCCATTTTACGGAGAGGCCTGAGGCTCAGCAGTCCAGGGTCAGTCGGCCAGAAGGAGGCGTGTCTGGATTCGAGCTTGGTCCATGCAACTCGGGAAACAGCCCTCTGAGCACCTTGATGGTGCTGCCTCTGGAGACTTCCTGAGTCCCTGTGACAGACCAGGGAGGGTGCTGTCCCCAAAAAGCCACCCACGGAGGAGTGGGCTCCCATGAGGTGCAGCGGTGGGCTGGCCGCAGCCGGAAGGCCTGCCTCGGGGGGCAGCACCCCCGAACCTGCTCCCCAGGAGGGTGTGGGCAGTGCTGAGCGGGTGGCACTCGTGACTCAGGCTGCTCTCGCCCTGCCCCCCAGCATCCTGCTCTACGGCAGCGTGGACACCGGCACCCAGTGCCTGGCAACCTGCCGGAGCCCCGGCCTGCAGCCTGTACTCTGCCTGCGCCACAGCCCCTTCCACCTGCTCGCCGGCCTGCAGGACGGGACCCTCGCCGCCTACCCCCGGACCAGCGGTGAGTACGGGGGGCTGGGGGCCGGGGCAGTCCTGGGTGCCAGCTCCCCTGCCAAGGGAGGCTGCAGGAGGCAGGGCCGAGATGCATCGGCGAATCTTGGCCCTGGGAGGAGCTGGAGGTCCCTGAGCCTTGCTGGGATTGGACGCACGGTCCCCTGGACGTGACTCCCTAGGGTGCTTGCTACCATGCAGGAGCGGGCCCGCTGGCAGAGGACTCTAGTGGGCAAGAGAGACCCTCCAGGGGGTCCGAGAGACCTGCTTCCTGCTCAGGTTCTGCCCTGATCCCCTGCTAAGTGGCTTCCCTTCTTTGTGCCACTTCACCTGCAAAATGGGAACAATGGTAGAACTCAGCTCTCTTGGGTCCCAGAGGACTGAACGACTCCGCGAGAGCAGAGCGGGCCAGGTGCCATGCAGGCTCGGCGGAGCTCAGTGATTCGACCTGTCATCTTACGGAGCCATCTCCGGCACCAGTGATGACGTCAGGAGGGCAGGGCCCACGGCATCCGGGCCTCTGTGCTTCCGGGATGGCTCAAGTGCTCAGCACGCATGGTTATCTTTGTTCTCACTGCAGCCCTGGGGAACCACCTCCCCTCTCCACACCACGGTTCTGAGACCGAGGGGACGTGGCGGATTGTACACAGCCACACGTGTGCTGTGGTCCCATCCCAGGCCCTTGTTCAGCCCAGGTTTGATGACAGGAGCTGAACGGAGAGCGCAGCTGCCCCCAGAACCCCCAGAGGGGCAGATGGACTTGGAGACTGTGGCCTTGGTGTCACCTCTTCCTCCTTTCCCTCCACCAGGCCCCGATAGCTGCATCATCTCAGCCTGTTGCAGGGTTATAAACAGATATTTGAGCTATTTTTTTTTTTGCCACTTGGTGCTGTGTTGGTATTTTTAATTAGCTTTTGATAAGGCATTTATAGTTTTTAATTAAAGAGGGAAGAGGGAGGGAAAAATCCCTCTCACCGTCAGACAGCGCGTGCGTGTGAATGTCAATACGGGCTCAGGTCTGGGAGACGCAGGCGAGGGCTTCTAGACGGACCGCCTGCCCTGGCTCCCGCCGGACACTGGGAACCTGGTCTGTGTCTCCCTGACCTTTGCTCCCCAGCTTGGGTCACCTTTGGCCCGTCCCCTCTTGTCTCCGGGCTCATCACTTTGGGCGCCTGGGTTGGGAGGGAGTGAGGCTCCCACAACAGGACCACAAACACCAGGATTCAGCATCTCATGTCGGAGGTGGGAAGTCTGGTGGTGGGGCAATGGGGGCAATGGGGGGACACACCCCTCAGAAGGCGCCTGGGAAGGGTCTGCGTCAGGCCTGTCTCCAGCTTCTGGGCATTCCCTGGCAGATGGCAGCAGGACTCTTCCCGTGGTGTTGTCCCGGGCGGGGGGATGTGGCTGTGTCCCATCTTCCCTTCTTATAAGGATGGCGGTCATTTTGGATTGGGGGCCCTTCTTCCAGTGTGACCTCATCTCAACTCCTCACGTCTGCAGTGACCCTGTTTCCAAAGAAGGCCACTCTCCAAGGTGCTTGGGGTTAGGTCTTTAACCTATAGATTTTAGGCAAGCTCAGCTCAACCCATACCGTGGGGATCTGGGGTCTACCCCTTGGTTTTCAGCCTGCAACTGGAGCCTGGTAGCTTGTCAGGACCAGGAGAGCCACGGGGGGCGGGGCATTGGACTCCATCTCTCGTGTTCTGGATGGGAACAGACTGTCCAGAGTCCTATGACTGAACTGAGACCTGAGCCAGGTACCCTGCCTCCCGGGCTGGATCCCCACAGACATGGGGGCCTCTGGTTTGTCAGAGCAGAGCTGCGGCCAAGGGCCCTGGAGCGGAAGGCTGAGATGTTCCACCAGCTCTCCCACCTCGCAGACATTTGCCCACCAAATATTTGCTGAGCACTTACTATGTGCCACGGATACAGCAGTGGGGAACACGGACATGCCCCTGCCCTCGTGGCAATTATGGTCTACGGCTGGAGACAGAATGAGTCCGGTAAGCTAGCTGGAGGCATAAGGTTATCCACAGCACTGAGGTGCCTAAAGGAGGGACTGGGGGCTGTGTGACCGCCTCACTGCCCTGTGGGGTGGGGTGGACGGTGAAGGCCTCTCTGAGGAGGAGCCAGGCAAGGTGGGGCTGGGGAAACAGTGTCCTCGGTAGAGGGGACAGGGTGTGCAAAAGCCTGGAGGCAGGAGAGCAGCTGGCCTGCTGGGGGACCCCAGAAAGGAGGCTGCTGTGCTGTGTATCAAAGGAGGAGGTGCCCCTAGGCATGGCCCGGGGGCCGGCAGGGCTGGCCGTGAGGACCTCAGGCTGTCTCGGAAAGTAGGGAAGTAGAGAGATGCGTTATATGAAGCTGGGCACTGGGGTGCCTCTGGCGACTAGAGAGGAGTGGAGGCAGGGAGGCTGGCTGAGAGGCTGGGGCAGCGGAGAGTCTGGTGGCCACACTCTTCCCGTGAGCCCACTCTTGGGCGCCCGGCTTGGCTGTGGCTGAGGAGGTCCCTGAGAGAGGTCTGGCTAACGGGTACCCCCACCCCTGCCCCGTGGTGCCTGTCGGAGGTGGCCCGGACAGGAAGTGGGGCTCCCAGGACCTGCTGCATGGTGTGGCACTGGGCCATGTGTGGCTGGGTCTGGAACCATCCGCCTGGCCCGGGACCAGCTGTGGAACCGATGTCATCGTCACCCCATGCTCAGATGTCCCTCAGACCTCTCCCACTCCAGCAGCAGAGCCAGAGCTTGGAGCTGCACCTGGGTCCTCCTCCTGGGCTGTGCCCCTCAGAACCCATCGCTGGGCCCAGCTGGGTGGGGGTCTGGGTTTGTGAGTAATCCAGAGTCCCCCTTCCTCATCTTGGAGCAGGTTCTAAGGCCGAGATTTGCCAGTGTTGCGGCGACAGCCATGCTGTCCTGCCTGGGTTTGGCTGAGGCCAAGACTGAAGACAACTGGCATTGCTGACGCTGGCTCCTTGCAGAAGGGCAGGACCAGGCCGGACAGGCAGGCGGGCAGAGGCCAACCCGGGGACTCAGCCTAGCCCTGGGGCCTGCAGAGCAGCAGCTGGGTTGACCTGTGAGGGCTCCCAGGTGACCAGGCCACAGGGAATCACCGACTGCTGGAGCTGGAGGGGCCTTGGTGTCCAACCTCCAGTGGACAGATGGGGAAACTGAGGCCAGAAGCACTGTGGCCACTGTGGGAACCTCTGCTTGTCTGCATTCATTCATTTGCTCAACAAGTATGTATCGAGTGCCCATGAGGTGTCAGGCACAGAGCAGGGCCCTGGGATGTGGAGCTGAGCCAGGTGGCCGTGACCTTGCCCACATGCTGTCCTGTCCTGCACTTGAGTGGAGCCACCTGGGCCCTCCCTCTTCTGAGCAGACAGGAGCATCGCCAGGCCCTGGGGGTGTCCTGGCTGGGCACTGGGGATGTGGGTCAGGGTCACCCCTCGAGGAGGCAGATGATGTCATGGGTAGGGGACGGGCCGGGGCATCGGCTGCCCGGGCTTGAGTCCCAGCTATGGGAGATTGGGCCCGTTGCTTCCCTCTGTGAGCCTCAGTTTCCCCGCCTGTGACATGGGGGTGAGGATATCCCTGCTCATGGAGTGGCTATGAGAGATAGATGCCCAGAGCATGGAGAGTCACCTGGTCCCTTATCACAGTCACACCCTTACCGTCATTTGTCATTAGTTGTTGTTACTTACCTGGCAGGGGCCACCCTTTGGGCCCTCTCAGCCGCTATGGCTGTCCCTCTGTGTCCCGCTTTCTGGCTCAGGCCTGACCTGGACCCCTGAGGGAGCCCAGCAGGGCTTTCCCTCTGTGGGCAGGCAGTGAGGGGCATGCCACTGGCCTCCTGAAGGTGCCTTTGTGGAGACTGGGTCTCTGTCTCCCCCAGGCTGGGCATGAGAGCTGGTGCCGACCGGTGCTGTCACGCAGGGGGGGCGTGTGTGTGAGTGGTTCTGGGAATAGGCATAGGTGAGGGGCAGGAAAGATGGGCCCCGTGGGGCCCAGGAGGCTTCTGCCCAGAGCTCACAACTTCACATGTGACCTTAGACTCATGGTGTGAGAGGGCTGGGAAGAACCTCCGAGGACAAAGTTCTGTTCCCATGTGGTCAGGAGGACCGAGTCCCAGCAGAGGCACGCCTCTCGTTCAGGCTCCCATCGTGGGCCGGCTAATGGGGGCTCCCGCCCAGTGTTCTTTTGGATGTGTTTGAGGTAACTACTAAATGTGATCACACTTTGTCTTCTTGGAGCCAGGGCTTCTGAGAGGTTTCTGGAGACTTGCAGCAGACTGAGGCTTGGCTGGCATCAGTGTGACCCTTGGGGTTCCAGGCCCCTTCCTTCCCCCGGGGGAGTCTCTGCTAGTGGAGGGAGGGTGAGGGGGCTCTGAGCCACAGGGTAGAGCCCCATTTCCCAGTTTTGGGGGTGTTACCCAGCATTCTTAGCTGCCTCTTCCCTGGGATTCTCCCCATCTTAGCCCTAAAGTTCCAACTTCCGACCATAAGCACTATCCCCTCGCGCCACTGGGGGGTGCTCAAAGCCTTGCATTTTCCTGGCTCTGGCCTCTCGGTGGGGTCAGCATTCCTGGTGGCGGCCACTGGGCCTCCTTTCGGTCACCAGCCCCTCCCGGACCCCAGTCCCAGCCTCAGAGCCCTTCAGGCGCCCTTCAGGGCACAGCGCAGGGTGGGGGAGGAGGCCAGGCCCACAGGCAGACAGAGCTGAGTTCGGAACCCCTCCCCCGGCCCGCCACCCCAGGGGTGTCTGCGCACGTTCTGGGCTCTGGGTTTGGGTTGTCACGTCAGCTAAGTGGAGTCAGCAGTTGTTTCGACACACGGTTGTGTTGTGACAAATGACATCAAACAGTAAGAGCCACCAGCACGGGTTGCTTTTTAGCTGTGTGAATGGAACTGGGGGAGTTACTTAAACTTGCTGTGCCTCAGTTCTAAGCAGGGATAATAATAGTATCCACCACACAGGCTTGTTGGGAGTTAAGGAAATTATTCGAGGAGAGCACGCCTGGCGTACGGGTGCGGAACGGTCTGTAGCGACAGCAGTCAGCACTCCTGACTGCACCCGCTAAGTGTCTCGCCGACTCCCTGCCACATCCAGAGAGGTGTGGGCATGGCCGTCATGCCCAGTGTACAGAGGAGACAAACTGAGGCCCAGAGAGGTGAAGCCCTGTGCACGTTCACGCAGGAGCTCGGGGGCCACAGACTGCCCCGGCCCCGCCTGCCCTGCTCGTGCTCGCCATTTCAGCCGGGAAGAGCCATCTGTGTCTTTGGGGGCGGGGCGGGGGTCCCTATTCCCTGACCCCTCCGCTGAGCTCAGAGTCTGCCCGTTTTCCGTAGGGCAGAAAGGCATGAAGGGAACCTGTTTTATAGGTGGGGGAGGGAAAAGTAGGACCAGGCCCAGCCTGGGGAGGGGGTGGGGGTCTGGTGGGGGCCCTCCCACAGCCTGGGTAGTGACTTCCATCACGTGCCCTGGGGTCCTGCCCGCTTGGGTGCCGTCTGTGCCCCGTCACGCCACCCACGCTGGCTCAGAGAGGGAGGATCTGTCGGTGACAGGCTGCTCTGTTCCCCTTCTAGGGCCCGGTGGGGGCTGTGGGGGGTACCAGGGCACTGACAAGCCAGCGGTTCCCTCCACACTGCCCCCCAGACCCTTACGGGAGAGTGCCACCCCCAGGCTCCTCCAGACCAGCCCCCAGCCTCCTTGTCAACCCACCTTTCCTCCCTGGCACCCTGCCATGATAGAGCAGCCACGGGGGCTCTGTGGCATCAGGCGTGACTTCAGAGAAAACCAATCTGGGCGCACATAGCTTGGATGCCAGGAAAGCGGCCTTTGCGCGAGCTGGGCATCCCTGCTCAGTGCCGGGCCCGGTCCCCCGGCCCGTTCTGCCTCCAGGGATGGCAGGCCAGGATTGATGGCCTCTCAGAGCGTCCTCCTCCTGCACCTGGTGGCGGGGGTGTTTCTGGAGGAGGAAGAGATCTCGGTAAAGAGATCAGAGATCTCGTAAAGGGATCAGAGACCTTGATAAAGCTGACAGAGGCGCCTTGGTGGTCGAGAGGATGCACGGGAAATCAAGGTTCGGTCTAGATGAGCTGCAGTGTCAGAAAAATCCTCAGGGATAGGCTTGTTACCCCCTGCCCCCATTTTACAGATGGGGAAACTGAGGCCTTGAGAAGGGTGGGATGTGCTCAAGGTCCTTAGCAAGTTGGTAGCAGAAACAGGGCCAGACCCCAGTCTCTTGACTCTAGACCCGGACACTTCCTAGCATATCACACTGCCTTGGCAGGGTCTAGTGTGAATACTGCCTCTTCCGAGAAGCTTCCCTGGATTTCCCCCCATGCAGTATTAGTTCCGTTCCATTTCAGGAGTTCTCAAGGTCCCTGGTGCAGGCCTGCTCATGTGTGCTCGGCATATCGTGTGGACTGTTGGTTAACCTGGGTGGTGGCTCCCACGGGTGGAGTTTCCTTGAGGGCAGGGCCTATGTCTGACTCATTTCTGTCTTCCCAGCACCTAGCATGTGGCCTGGTGTGGACTAGGTGCTTACTCAGCGTGTGGGATGAATGAGAGAGGGAGAAAGCGAGGCTGGGAAAGGAAGGGGCAAGGGGACGGGGAAGGAAGGAAGAGGGAGGGAGGGGAGGAGGGAGGGATTGGGCAGTGTGGTCTCCAGGGCTGGGAGCCTGATGGTGGGAGGCAGAGGCGGACGGGCACAGCCACCATCCCGCTGGAAGGAGGGGTGGGCCACAGACAGGAAGAGGGTGTGTGGGGCCCAGCCCCGCTGCCGGCTCCGCTTGTCACGCCCCGCCCCTGACCTGCCTCCCTGCTCTCCCCTGACCTGCCTCCCTGCTCTCCCCAGGTGGCATCCCGTGGGACCTGGAGAGCCCTCCCCTGTGCCTGACTGTGGGGCTGGGGCCCATCCGCACCCTGCTGAGCCTGGAGGACACCGTGTGGGCCAGCTGCGGGTCCCGCGTCACTGTGCTGGACGCCGCCACCCTGCAGACTCAGGTACTGGCTGTCCTGTGACTCGTGGCGCCGGCCACGGGCCGTCTGCCTGATCTGCTTCCGCTGCCCCTTCCTGTGCCCTCCTCTCTGTGTCTCAGGGATTGACCGGGCAGTTTGTCGGGGAGCAGAGGGGCCTGAGAGCCCTGCTGAGCCTGATGTCTGTCTCTGCCACACGTGGCAGGGTGCTGTGTCTGCTGCGGCCCATGGGGTGGGGCTTGGGTCTCCTTTCCTGGACTGATACCCAGGACTTGCACCCACGGAGCCCTGGCTGTGCTGCAGGAGTGGCTGGTGTGGACGCAGCCAGCCTGGTGGAAAGAGAGGCCGCCTTGGACCCTGGGATGAGGGGGGCCTGGCCCTGGCAGCTCATCCCTGGCTCAGCCTGGGCCCGTGCCTGTCGCTGACCAACTGCCCTGCTCACCTCACCCCTGCAGTCCATCCTGGGGGACTGGCGTGAGACTCAGGTGAGACACGAGTGTCCTTCCCTGGGCGGGCCTCCAGTCTGATGGGGGAGACCTAGCTCTGCCCTGGGCCGGCCTCCGGTCTGATGGGGGAGATTCAGCCTGCCCGTGGGGTATCCACTCTAATGATGGAGACCCAGTCCTTCCCTTGGGGCCTCTTGTCTGAGGGGGGCGACGCAGCCCTGCCGAGTGGTCTTTTGGTGATGTTTGCTGTCACTTGGTTTGGTTTACCCACTTGGACGTGCGACCAGGTGTGGTGTAGAACTCCGGGTACAGCTCCCGATCAGAACAGGCAGGCTCCTTTGCCAAGGACTCCCCTCACCTGCCCGTTGTTTATCTCTCCTACAGCTGTAAATCAGGGACTCAATCCCCCCAGCGGGACCCCTAAGAGGAGTCCTGGGATTATAAGCTCACAGGTGATCTGGGCTGGTCTCACATGACACAATCCTCATTTGACAAAGGAGGAAACTGAGGCTGAGTCCCAGGGTTGTGGCCGCCGCATTCCCTGGCTTCCCCTCCTGACTGTGTCTCCGTGCTGAGGGTCTGTCTTCGAAGCCGGGTCTACCTGGCTCCACGTCCCGGTCCTGCCTCCGACCAGCTGCATGTCCTGGGCAGGCCCCTGTGGGAGAACAAGGGTTCCAGTCTGTAAGAGAGGAGTGAGTGTCCCTTCCCCGGAGTCATTTTTCTCAGGGCTCTCCAGAGAAACAGAACCGGCCGGACATAGTGAATGTGTGTACTCTAAGGCGGCAGAGGTCGGCGTACACATGTGTGTACATGCACGTGAGAGGCTTATGGCAAGGGACTGGGTCAAAGCCTGAGATGTCCCGAAAACTGGGGTCCACAGCCGGAGGCCCAGGAGAACCTTGGGGCCATCCGGCCTGAACACCAAGGCGTGAACCGAAGAGCCAGGGGTGTAAATTCTGGTTCAAAAACTGGTGGGCACAGAGAGAGCTGATGCTTCAGTGGATCTGAGGCCAGAGAGAAGCGATGCCTCAGCTTGGGAGTCCGGAAGGAGGAAATCTCTGTCTCAGCCTTTCTGTTCTATTCAGGCCCTCACATTCTGAGGCCCACCCACATGGGAGGGCCATCTGCGGCTGGGTCTCCCATTCAGATGTTAATCCACCGGCACCACCCTCACAGACACACCCGAACCCTGTGTGGCCAGATAGCTGGGCTCCCCATCCTGTCAGGGCAACACATGAAACTAGCCCTGCAGACTCACGAGGGCCATCGTGCCTGGGCATCGCCTCAGGCTGGCCGGGGCGGGCTTGGAGATACCTACTCAGAGGCTCTTGCTGGCTGGGTGCTGGGAGGGGGAGTCCCCGTAGCCCAGCCTCGTAGATGGCAGGAGAGGCAGTGCCTTGTGCAAAGCCAGCAGGTGCCCTTTGCGGGGGGGCTGCTGATGACTCCTGGGCTGGTCCCTGCTCTGGGCTGTAGGCCGCACCCTCTCCTCTCCTGCCAGGACCTGGCACCAAAGACCTTTGCCCTCACTAGTGACCCTGGGCCAGGCCAGGCCCAAAGCAGCTGTAGCCAAAGGCTCCCTTCCCAGCCCCCGTCGCTTTGGGGCTCCCCGGCCACCCCCCACCCCACCCATCACTTCCCTCCAAGGGCTTCTCACCTCCTTGACCTTCTCGAGGAAGGTGCGTGAGGAGAGCTGGCTTCCTCAGGGCCTTTGGTCCCTGACAGACCTGGGCCTCAAGCCACTTGGCAGGAGGAAGGACGTCTCAGCTTGCTTGGCCCGCCTCCCCACGCGGTCCCTCCCAGGCATCCCAGCACTGTCTTGGAAGCAGACTCAGGCGCCCTGCGAGCGTCCTCCTGACACCCTGCCACAGGCTCTGACTCAGCCTCAGGAGCACACCGGTGGACAGAGGAACAGAGGCGCTCAGCCCATAGGCCTGTGCACTGAGAGCCATTCAGGGCAGTGGTGGAAGGAGGAAGGGAGGTTTTCAGTCTAGTGGGGGAGACATGACCTTCCCGTGGAGGGCTTCCAGTCTGGTGGGAGAGACACGGCCTGCACATGGGGGCTTGCGGTCTGATGGAGAAGACACAGCCTGCCCTTGGAGGCCCTCAACTGCCACGAGGGAGACTCAGCCAGCCCTGGGAGGGCCTCCAGTCTGATGGGGGAGACTCTGCCGGTCCTCTGAAGTCCTCTAGTCTGATGGGGGAGACCCCGCTGGTCCTCTGAGGTCTTCTAGTCTGATGGGGGAGACCCACCCAGCCAGCCTTTGGAGGGCCTCCAATCTGATGGGGGAGACCCTGTCAGTCCTCCGAGGTCCTCTAGTCTGATGGGGGAGACACAGCCTTCCCATGGAGGGCTTCTAGCCTGATGGAGGGTACACAGCCTGCCCTTGGAGGGGGGTCCTCAGTCTGATGGGGGAGACACAGCCCTGCCTTTGGAGGAGGGCTTCAATCTGATAGAGAGACACAGCCTGCACGTGGGGGCTTCCAGTCTGATGGAGGAGTCACAGCCTGCCCTTGGAGGGCCTCAACTCTAATGGGGAGACTCAGCCAGCCCTTGGAGGGATTCTAGTCTGATGGGGGAGACCCAGTCCGTCCTCTGAAATCCTCTAGTCTGCTGGGGGAGACCCCGCTGGTTCTCTGAGGTCCTCTAGCCCGATGGGGGAGACCCAGCCGGCCTTTGGAGGGCCTCCAGTCTGATGGGGGAGACCTAACCTCCGTTTTCAATATGGGGGAAGTGAGCCCTGAGACAGGAAAAACCCAGGAGCAGAGAGAGTGGGACGGGAAGGTGCGGGCCCTCAGTGCTCTCTGTGGGCTGAGGACATGCTCAGCCTGCCAGCAGGGGGAGGGGGACACAGGAGGGAGGAGGCAGCGCGACACAGGAGGGAGGAGGCAGCGCGGTGGCAGGAGACTTCGGAGCCAGGGCCACCTGGGAGGTGCTGCCCAGGAGAATCTTTCAAGGAAGAGGTTGGGGCTGCAGAACCGCAGGCAGAGGCCTGTGGGCGTGGAGAGGAGCTGCGGCTGTGGGTTGGTGTGAGCCGAGCTGCTGAGGGGGCTGGGCCTCTGGGGCCCTCCCAGGCTCCCTGGGCAGCCTGGGACACTTGGACCTTCAGGAGGTGGAGGAGTGGGGCGGCATCCTGGATGGAGCCACCCCTGCCCATCCTAGCCACGTCCACCTCGGAGCCCGGGACAGATGGACCGCGGGCGGGATGGGGTTATGCCTTGCCAACCCTCGGAGAGTGCGGGTTGCAAGCAGGCTGCTTCCGCGTGGCCCCAACTCTGCCCCTGCCAAGCTGTGCAGCCTTGGACGAGTCACCAGGGCCTCAGTCACTTCATCTGTAAACTGGGGTAACAGCCATACTACAGAGAGTCACTAGGAGGATGGAAGAGAATGTTCACATCAACAGGCTGCGTCACATGGTGCCTGGCACATGCGTGGTAGGCGGTGGCGGACCGGGATTCGTGGTCACTGTAGTTACTGCCAGTTACTGCCGCCAAGCTTACCTCTAGTCGCTGTGTTGGTCGTTTACTCGGCAAGCGGGGTTGCAGTGAGTACAGGGCACAGAGGCCATCCCAGGCCCCAGTCCTCACCTCACTGGAGCAATAGCCTGCCCCTGCAGCCAGCTGCCCTAGGAGCACGGGACCGATGGATGGCGGGCGGGACGGGGGTGGTGCCTTGCCAGCTGCTGCACGGTCCTCCCTGGGCCCATGCCATGGCGCTTCAGTTGCACCGTCCTGGGAACCCTGTGGCCACCAGGCCCTGGCACAGGGCTGCGGTGGTTTAAGATGTGTTCTGACCCAGGCCCTTAATGGCCCACAGGCGCGGGATCTGCCGGGAACTGGGAAGCTAAGCAGGGTTGGTTGCGGTTGATGCTCGGATGGGAGACCGCCTTGGGAGTATGACAAAATTAGTTCTGGGCTTGGTGTCTCATGCCTGTAATCGCAGCACTTTGGGAGGCCAAGGTAGGAGGATCACTTGAGCCCAGGAGTTTGTGACCAGCCTGGATAACATAGTGAGATGGTCTCTCTCTCTCTTTCTTTCTCAAAAAAAGATTAGTTCGGGACCAGCTGCTCACTGTGGTCTTTCACCTGGGGGGCATCGTGGACTGCTGCGGGGGGAGTCAGGGTGGAGACTGGAGAGGCAGAGGGGCCTCAGCTGCTGAGGGGCCAGAAGGAGCATTACCTGTCCACAGCCAGGAAACTGAGAAGCTTCCGTGTGCAGCGCGGTGCCAACTTCACCGCACACGGTCATCCGAGCAGAAACAAGGTGGTCTCCTGCGCCTTGAATGAAGCCCACTCCTGCTGTTCGGAGTGGAGGATGCCGGCCCAGGCCAGTGCTGGGGTCCTGGAAATGGCTTCGTCTGCTGCAGTGAGGGACCATGTGAGCCACGCCCAGGCTAGAGGTTTCCTAGCAGGGGGGACTGACCCCCTGAGGCCTACTCTGCAGGGACGCAGCCCCTTGCCCAGTGGGTCCCTGCTCTGGGTCCGCTCATCCACCGTCCCCCGCAGAGCCAGCGCCCACGGTCTGTCTCTGGGTTGAACGCACGCCCACCCACCGCTCATTCAGCTCCTTGATCCCAGCGGAAG